AAAAAGAGAAAGAACAAAGACGCTTAGGTCAAGAAAAAACCGAACGGGAAGCCCGAGAAAAACGAGAACAAGAAGAAAAAAGAGAAAGAGTAGGTATGCCTCACCTTGACACTGAAAATCAACATTACTTAAATCATAGAAAAGGTTCTTTTTGCATACATAAACCAGACTTCACTAATGCTATTTTTGCTAGTGAGGTCGAGGCTTTTATGTCTGCCCTTTCTCAAATAGAGTATAAAGACTGAGAAAGAATTACAAAAAGCGGTCACTATTATCAAATAGAGAATGATGATGAAAAGAAAAGAATAAAGATATATCTTGGCTTTAGTAAGAAAAAATTTAACAATTTAAAAGGTGAATCGATGATTTGTCAAATACCTATTGGAGAAAAAGAAAAATTCCGAGCAATTATTATTTTTAGAAAAGTGTGCCTCCATCTTCTTTTTTTTGACCCTAATCATCACTTCTGCCCAAATTTCTCAAAGATTAAAATTCCTAAACCGCAAAATGGTGGCAGTTGTTTAATGAGGGAAGAAAACTGTGGTCAATTTTATGAGTGCAAATTTTTATCTGAAAAAGAGTGAAAAAGGAAAGGAAAAAGATAGAAAAAACTAACGCTACCCTTTTAAGTTTATTTTTTCTCTATGGTGTCATTAGAATCGTTATGCCACCAATTACAGTTTAATCCTACTTATTAGAAATGTAGAAAATAAAGACATAATCCATGCTGAACTATGTGACGGAGCAGTTGACACTGAGATTTTCATTAACTTCCTTAATAACATTAAACTTCCTACTGATGAAAAGTATTACCTTTTATTGGATAGGCTTTCTTCTCATAAGGCTGAAAAGGTTAAAGAACTTCTAGCAAGTAAAAACATTGAACCACGATATATCGTTGCTTGCAATCCTTACTTAAATCCTGTTGAAGAAGTTTTTAATAAAATTAAGGGTTATGTGAAAAGTTGTCGACCGACAACTTGCTGGTAGCCTAATATTTTTTGGCAAATTTCATGCTTGGCTCTTTCAATCGGGCTAGCGTTTTCTGGTAGATGCCAGGAGACATCTTGGCCGTTATAGTCGGGGTCTTCTATCTTTTAATATTTTTCGAATTCTTGCTTTTCGAGATTAGTATTATTTTTTGCCATGAAATCTATTTTACTATTTTTTAAAAAAGAGAGGTCATCTGAACAATTTGAGCCTGTTGCTCCTGATTATTCTGAATCTGCAAATCAGACAACTGTTTTTTTAACTGAACATAATGATTTCTCCGGCGAGTTTGCAAAACAATTTGCTGTTTATTGGCTGGCAATTTGTCATTTAATAAAACCTGGATTTGTTTATCTCAATAATCTCCATCAGTTAAATTATTGATATTTTCTTCTTTTTCCATACTGTCTTTAATATTATCTCATTTATTAGTTTCGGATTGTTCTCCTAATTGTTGTTCTAGTTGTTGAATTATCGTTTCTTTATGACTTTTTTCTTCCTCTAATTGCTGAATTTTTTGGTCTAATCCTACATT